TGTATCTCTCTAACTATGTAATTCCTATTGTTGCAGACTGGCCTGATCATTTGTTCATTCATAAAGCTTTTGCATAATGGCTTCTTACTAATAACAAAAATATTTCTCAATTTATTATGTCATTTTTACCTATAATAGGCTTTCTTCATGTATCTTTGAACACTTGTGAGCTTGTTTTTTTAAAGAACTCTAACTTATTCAATGATATTTACAAAGGTATATTCAGTATGCGTAAGGATCTTGGTAAGAAGCTACAGCTATAGAGAATTAACTTAATTTTATATATGCACGCATGGTATGACTTAATGTAATCAATACCGTTTCTTTGAAATTTGGCCGTTTATACAAAGATATTGAATTTTTGTATTTAACAGATCTTTTTAGTAATTTAATTCTCTTAGTTCTCGACATTTATGTGATACATCATCGTAGTAGTGATTGGTCAGCTTACAAAGAAGTCTGTGTACGTTGTTAGAGTGACCTCTTTCTTTGGTTTGATCAAAGGAATTACAAACGTGTCTCTTTAATGTTCTTCTCAGATGTTTTTTATTGGATGAAGACTGAGCATCCAATGATTAATTTAATTACTAATCATCTTACTTCTTTAAGTGATTGTCCCATCAAAATAGCTCACAGTGTTATTTGAATATGTACAGCTAAATTCTTCACAACTCAACAATTGCGAAAGAATGCTCATTTTATTTTTTAACAATGACATGATAATTCCTTTTAACATTTCGTACATTCCGTAAAATATTCATATACACCAAAGCAGTTGCGCATGCTTTCTCAAAAATGTGTCATGGATTTTAGAGTCATTCGCAAAGATATATCTAACTCAAAATCAGTATTCTTTAGTTCTTAAATCCTCATCTGATAGTATTAATACATATAAACTTTTTTCTTTAGGTTATGAAATAACAGATTGACATCTTTCTCGAGGCTTTATGACTTCTAAAAAACCTAACATTGTCATCTGATGCGATTTTATTTATTGTGATCATATTGATGATTCTATTAATGACAGTATTCTAGCGTGTAGATATAGTTATCACAGTTATTGCTTGCAGAGATGCCAATACAAGTGTTTAATATGTTTAAACTATTTACAGAATGAAGTTAAGAAGAACGTTGATACATTAATAGCAAGTTTAACGAAGGAAGGAAGAGTTGAAAATGAATCTATCAATGAAAATATTGAGGATTTAGACGAAAATGATTTGAGTAATACAGAACGGGTAACGCATGACATAATAGCAACAGAGAATTTATTAGAACGTATGAAAACATTATTTTTGGAGCTGTAAATTTTTATTTTATGTATACAAAAATTGGTTGCAATAAATAAAAAAATTTTTTTTTATAAAATTGTAAATTTATAATATGTTGCTTTGAATCAATCAATATTTCAAGCTAATCACAATATTTTGAGTTAATCATACTAATTATTAATTAATATTTCGAGCTAATATTTGATTAATTCTGGCTAGAAATTAAGTACAAAGTGATTGGAATTACCATTTCTAAATTTAGAAATTTGTGTAAACTTAATTTGATTGGCCAGATTAATATGTGACAATATCGAACATTTATGATTTCATTGATCAATTGTATGTGATAATATTGAGATTTTGTATAATCTAAACAGTCTCTCCTGGAGATTTATTTTTATTCGATTACAAACATATTGGGGATTTATATAGGAGCATATCTAATTTTATATTCACTGGTTTGTGAAATATTACGATTACAAGCAGATTGGAGGATTTATATATATGCATATGAATTGTTTATGAATTCCTCTGATCATTTCTCTTGACATCATGTTTTGGTTAAATTAGGCCTAAGTCAATAATAGCTAAATTATTTTTCAAGAACCATTTCTGAAGCTAAAGGCATTTCGCATGACGTATATCATATCACATGTATCACCCTAAATCCTTGCCAGTTCCTTGATAGTTCTAGGAATGTTCCAGACACTGGTAAGTTTCTATGTACAGCGCCTTCAGTTAAATCATGAGAAGATCGACCAGGGGATATTTGATAAGCAGTCACACATCATTTATATGGATATATACAGTAGTGGCAGAAAAAACTGGCAGTAAATGAAAATTCATTTACTTGATCACTATTTATTAAAATCGTTCGAAACTTAAAATATAAATAAACTAATACCACATTTATTATATATTAAAATTTTAATATTGAATTACATTGCCATTCCTTTCAATTACCAAATTTACCCTCCTTTCCATATTATTGACTAAATTAAGGCAGAGGTTTTGATCGATATTAAACTATTCGCCCTTAATAATTTCCATAAAAATCCTTTGCATAACTGGTTTTTTTTCACTAATTCGTTTATTGACCTTCTTTTCCACCCTTTTCTTGATAATCACCTACAAATTTTTTATTAGATTCAGATCTGGGGAATATGACGGCCAATCGAGAACCGCAGGATATCGATTTTTGAGAAGAGACACCGTAAGCTTGGCTTTGTGCTTTGGATCATTGTCCTGTTGAAATGTCCAGGACCTTCAAGAAGCTGATATGCTTGATCAAAAAGATTATTTGTTAAAATTTCACGGTACAACTTCCCATTCATATTTTCAGTAAATATGTGAAACCCAACGATTCCTTGCAAATAAAAAGCCCCTCAAACATAAACTTTGAAAGGGTATTTGACAACTCCATGAGTTGGTTTTTCTTCACCCTCTTTATAACGAACTAAGGTGGTATTACGGAACATTTGAAAAGTCATTTCATCAGAAAAAACCATATTTTTCTAATTTTTATTTTTATGAACCTCTGCCCAAGAAACTCGTCTCTCTTTTGCAATTGAAGTGAGGAATGGGGTTTTTTTAAGAACACAAACTCAGTAACTAAGCTTTCAAAGGTTCTCACGGACTGTGCGAGTGGCTATATTAAGACCTGGGTAAGTATTATTAAGAGTGTCTACAATTTCAAAACTTGTTGCACCAGCACGCAAATGAGCGAGCTAACCAAGGTGACGCCGCTTTTTTGGACTTAAACCTTTGGGCGTCCTGGATGACATTGTTATTTTAAATTTTTGGTTTTTTTAACTGTGATGACTACTGATACAGTATCCTTAATGGGAACTTGGTAATTTTGTGTAGTTCGTTTACATTTCGTATTCCATTATTCTACAATGACTTAACTACCTCACGTCGCTCTTTAATAGAAATTTTTTGCGGCATTATTACATCATATCGGTCATGAGGCATTCTTGTGTTCAGTTTTTTTATGCATGTTGATCAGTGTAACATAGTAAACAACCAAACAAAAATTTGGTTTGTATTGTCTAATCAGATGTAATGTAAATCATTGTTTTAATCACATGATCGCAACTGCCATTTTTTTCCGCCACTACTGTAGTTAAAAAAAGAAGAAAGGTCCAATGCGGGCAAAATTTTATTGTTTTAACTGCATCATGCTTTACAATACTAAGTATAAAAAATATGTGAAACTACATTCAAAAAAAAATACAGGTGTTGAGTGCTGTAACAATATTACATGACTGTAGCATAGTCAATACCACTAATTCTCTATGATACACTACCCTCAGAAAAGTATCTGATTAAGCTTTTTTTAAATTTCTCAAGATCAGATATATCAACTAAATAAAATTTTTTTTTAAATAACCCCCTGGTTTTGATGATGAAGTGCATATATTTATATTTGTGTAATAATGCATAGATCAGGTTAATATACAAAAATATAAAACAACTTCAATTTTACCTTTTTAAAAATTGTACCATTCAACATGAGAAAAAATCGCGAATTAAATGACTTTGAATGCGGACAAATTGTTAGTTAAAGTTAGTGGAAAGGACTCACGAGACCTTTGCACGCATTTTAAAGTTTTCAAAAAGCACTGTTATAGATGTAATTGTGCGGTATACTAATTCTAATAATGGATCAAATGCTAAAAGATTCGGATGACCAAATTCTATGAATAAAGATGGTGAGCTTAGGCAAATTATAAAAAAAAGAATCAGACATCTCTTAATTATTGACGATTTCAATTATTTTAAAAATTTATACTTAAAATTTTAAATAAATTTTTTTTTTTTGGCTGACCAGATACTTTTCTGAGGGTAGTGTATATACAATGACCTCATGATCTTTGATCTGCGAAAGAAAAATTATCCTTTATCCTTACGGAAGAAAAAATATATCCTTGAAGTCTTAATATCATTTTATCTTTTTTCTGAGTATGTGAAGAAAAAAGGGCATTTCATCATTCATTAACCCTTTACAAATCAATAAAAATGACTTCAGGATTAGCTTAGACATTCACAAATCTCATATGCAAAATAAGGATTGTTGGAAAAAATATTCATACCCGAAAAATTGTTTCTTGATATGATAATAGATATGAAATGCAAAGAAAATACAGTATATGTGATTCGCACATCGCACAGCCCCTATTCTTTGGCAAGAATTTTTCCAATATCATAACTGCACTGAGTGACCGACTATTTCTACTATTATACTTTTGTTAAGAGCGCAACTCCAAGGGAAAGGCAGATTTAGAACTGATATATTTCTAATACCTTCAAATAGAATTAGAGATGGAATAGATGCTGTAACCAAGAGATAATCTTGCACATGATTTTAAGTCACATGATTCCAATCGTTTCCTGAGAGAACATTTTCTTAAATTTCCGATTGTTATTTACACAATTTTTCAGTAAGAGGAATATACACAAATAAATATCACGTGTGCTTTACAGTTTTTAATGCAATCACTTTGACCAAGTGCTGACATAATAACAATTGACATCAAGATATAATAATTTATATTGCTACACGTTGCCATGATGTAAATTTATTAATTAATTATTAATGAAATGAAAAATTTTTAAACGTTACATTTGCAAAAAAAGATTAGTTGTTAACTATTAGTAAAATAAACTCTAATGCTAAAATTTTTAAACGTTGCATTTTGTATAAAAGCAATTTCTATAATTCTATCATTACCATAAATGCCAATCATTAACTAAAGACCTTTCCTGTTTAAAAACAAGGGGTAAAAATGATTTTATTGCTTTCTTTCTATCCAGCTGTTTCTCTTTGTTAATTATACTCCATCGAGAACCAAGTGGCTAGGGAAATGTAAAAAGTAACTTTGATAATCTTTCACCAATTTCTTTCTTACAATTAAAAGATCGGATATTTTCAATATAGATAACTCTATTGGTAACAGGATCTTTGCCTCGCAACACTATAGAATCTACCTCTTTTATATCTATGTTATGATTACTTGTACCAGTATCAATATAGATACCTAGAATAATACCTTCAAAATTATTGTTATCAAAGGCAGACCTAGGATGAACTAAAACAGGAACATCTCCATCTTGATATTTTGTTTTTTTTTTGCATTCTTATTTTGAATCGAAATGATACCATACTTGTTAGTGGAGTATTCGAAAGGAATAACGTGATCAATGATGGGAAATCCTAATGGCATCTTGAAGGCAGTATGTCTGTGATAAGCTTCTCAGATAAGGTTTTCTGATAAATATTTCTGTTCCCCTTCTTTCATATATTGTTTATTTGAAGCTAACAAAGATGTCCAGTGGTTAAAACCAATTTCTACCTTATCTATATGCATCTTTTCAAAAAGATCATCAATTTTTTCATCAATTCCTTTACAGAGAACTTTTAAAAATAATAATAAGGGAACCTTTTCCAAGTATGTAAATGGTGGTGTCTGATTTATTTTCACAGTACGAATATATGCTTCTAGGAACAAGATGCGACTGACAAGCTCTCCTTTTTCTCCTGCCTCAACTACTCCACGGCTGAACTGTTCCAACAGTGTGTCCAAACAATCTTCAAAACCAACTTCGATGATTCCTTTTAATGCACCAGATGTAAGGATAGGATCAGAAGGATATGTGCAAAGAAGGTCTGTATGATCATCTGATACGCCTATAGTAGTTGCCATATGAGATACTATCAACATTTCTACCTTTGCCATTTGAGGGCAAACTTCAAGAGTAAAGGAACAGGACATGTATGCAAGATTAGCGAGATTATCTTTTTCTTGTTTTTTATTAAAATTGCGAATTTTTTGTGAAGCCAGATGTAGAACATTGGTGAGATCAACTCCAGCTTGAGCAAGAGATCCCCATAGAGGAATTCCTAAATATAATGCCCTTTGTGGATCATAAAAATTTCCAGGTGGCGCAATTCTTGATAACACGTCTATGGTATGAACATCCAAATACGCAGGAAATAAAAAATATTCGTGCATTCTGGCAGAATAAGTGTCTTTAATCTCTGGGGAAGGAAATTGCTGATTTTTCCATTTGTGCTTAGGAAGACATTAAAGAACCCATGCCACATGATATTCTGAATTTGTTTTCTCCATCGAACAAAGTAGGTCTCATCATTAGTAATTGATGTCCTTTCAAGCAACTCGTGTGCTTCATCAATGCAATAAACGACTGAGATCAGTGAATCTTTATCAAATAAGTTCTTTACAAAATCTTTGTTTGATAAGAGGTTATTATGCTATGATGAAGATTCAGCCGATTCCAAGACACGTTTCCAAAACTGGGTTCGCGTATTTTCGTATTCAGCTTTGACTTGTAATTCTCAAAACTGTCCTTCGGTCCAGTTATTTTTAATTAATTTGATTGCCTCAGATAAACTTATTATCACGAATTTTTTCAAAAATTTGTTGGACAAGGCGTCGAAGTAGGGTATCCACTACTATTCTGATGATGCTTACAGATATACAAAATAAAAACTCTCTTTGTGCTTAGCTCCCCCACAAGTCGTGTTTTACCAGAACCCGAGCTTTAAATTATTGTTAAGTAAGGAGCATATGGTCTGTCTCTATTACGCCATTCATCATGGAAAAGTATTAACTGCCTGTAGAAAGTGTCAAGAGCTGACCCTTGGTAATTGATATGAAATGCATTTTCAATACATTTTACTTCAATATTACCTGCAAAACAATCGCAAAGATATACAGAATAATAAGTTAATAAGACTTGCTGTTTTAATAATGAAGAATATCAACAATTTCTATTTTGTATACATTCTTACTTTCTTCTTCTATCTCTATTTCTTTCTCTTTATTTGAAGAGCTTCCATCGTCTATAGCGATAAGCGATCAGAAATCAGTATGAAGGTTTTAAAATTTTTGAATACAACTATTTTATACATACCATTTTCTTCGACTATAATCTCATATGCATTATCTTCTGTATTGAATAATTCAATAACAGGTTTACTGTCCTCTAAGTTATCACTTTCGCTACGAATAGTGACATTTTCTGATAGTTTAAATCGAGCTATTATTGTTCTTTTCAGATCTTTCACATTATATACCGCCATACCTTCCAAGACACTTTGTTTGATAAAGACGCGTTCATCATTATAACGGATCCATATTTTCTCATCTTTTTTTGCAGTTAAATAGGATATGAGTGAAGAGTATTCAGACATTTCATAATAAAATTCATGTATGGCCAAAACAATCAATTACCTTAAAGTTGGATTCTCTCGATACCAGTTTTCAAGCCTTCTATTCCTAATAGGACGAAAGAGCATAATAAACAAAATGAAATCAATATAGGTTTGTGAATTCAAATTATTGTGGAAGATTAAGCCAAGACGTGTTTGACCAAATTTATTACGACTCACTTACCACTAGCATCAGGTTGATCTGCGATAATGCGAATGTGTTTTTTGGGCGGGTTTGATGATAAAAAGCAGGAAAGAAAAGCACAAGAATAAGTAAGTATTCAGTATTGTTGGCAAAATGACACGGCTATGAGAGAACATACCAGGCTTTAAGAGTTCTTTGAAATAAGCAACTATCTCTCCATTATCCTCACATATAGGAAGGACACGTCTTGCTCTAGCTTCTATTTCTAAATCTTTAGTAAAGAGGGCTCGTAGTGCAGTTCTTTCCTCTTTTGAATCAAGCAGTTTGATTGCTTCATAGACGTTAGACATGGTTATTTAAACAGAGTAGCACGAATAGATGAAATTGGAAAAAAAAATTTTTTTGGATATCAGGTATATATACAAGAAATTGCAGATTGTTCTGACTCATCTGTTGGTCAGTTACGCATTTGACTTGATACAGATATTTGTCACACAAGATTACAAAAATCATGTCTTATAATATTTCATATAAAAAATGTACTAAACTTTGAGATCGTAACGCGTGTCACAGTCTCAGGATTTCATAGTTTTTACATATCAGGTGATAAGCGAAAAGAATATTCACAGTACTTTATTAATACATGCAAGTGATAAAAAAAAAAATAAATACAAGCACGAGAGTACACGGTAAAGCCTCTATGCTACAATTGCAAACTTGAGTTTATTGCTTGAAGTGTTGCAGGTAAGACAATATTCCAACTTATCTTGGAAATACAATTTCGCTAACTCAGAACTTAATTCTCATTTTCGCAGTATAATGAGCCATGTAATCCATAATTCTCATATTTTCCATCACAAATAGGGCATGGTGAGCTCCACGGCTGATGAACAGGAGGGACTGTTCCCAGTTACACAAAATTCCGAATCTGATAATGAGTCGATACAATTGATTCACCAATCAAAATCGTGAAATAAACACGTGACTTACAATGCCAATTATACTAAAATTGCAAGTTAAATATATTAATCAAAAAAATAATTATAATAATGTATTTATTCATAATGTAAATAAATTTTACAGTTTCAAAAATAATTCTTTTGCATATTCTAATAAATTCTCCATTGCTACAATATCATCTATAATCTCATCTATATCATTTAAATCATCTTTATCCATATTTTACTATTCTCTTTAACAGATTCTTGTTCATCTGATTTCTTTGTCAAACTTATCATAAGAGCATTAACATTTTTTTTAACCTCATTTTGGAGATACTCTAAACATATCAAATATTTGAATTGATATCTTTATAGGCAATAGATATGATAACTGTGTCCACATGTAAGGACAATATCATCAATCAAATAATTAGTATATTCACAATAAGAATAATCACAAAGGATGGTAAGATAGATTTTTTAAAAGTAACAAAACCTCGTGAAAGATAGCGATTAGTAACTTTGTAACCTAAAGAAGGCAATTTGTATATGTTAATACCATCAGATGAAGATTTAATAATTGAAGGATATATATGATATGTTTGGTATATTTTTGTAAATATGTTTAAAAGCTGTATAAAACATTTTTGAGAAAACATATTCAATTGCTTTAGTGTATATAGATATTTAACAGTATTTACAAAATATTGCCAAAATGCATTTTCTTCCTGCTACTAAAAAATAAAATGGGCCTCTTTCTGAAGTTGTTGAGCTGTAAAAAACTTATTGATACGTCATCATATAATGCTATGGACAATTTTAACAGGACTATCACTTAGAGAATCAGATTATTAGTAATCATGTTAATTATTGGATGATTAATCTTCATCCAAAAAACATCAGAAAAAACATTAAAGGGTACGTTTGTAATTCCTCTGATCAAAACGAAGAAGTAGATCGCTTCAGCAATGCATACAAGCTTCTTAATAAGCAGGCCAATCACCTCCTCAATGATGCACTGTGTAAATATTACTAATAGAACTAGATTACTCAATAGATCTGTTAAATATAGAAATTCGATATTCTTATTCATATGACTGAGTTTTGAATAAACAACTTCTGATATATCAAACTATGCCTTACGTACGATATAATGAATTAAATCAATTCTTCATAGTCGTGGTTTCTTACTAAGTTCCTTTTTTACACCAAATATACTTTTGTAAATATCATTAAATAAAAGGAATTCTGTAAAAAAACAAGTTTACAAGCATTTAAGGACACATAGAGAGGACCCATCATGAGCAAAAAGGATATAACAAAACTAGAAATTGTTTTATTATTAACAAGGAGCTGTTGCGTAATAGCCTTTCGAATATAGATCTGTTTAGACCAATTTGCAACAATAGGAATAGTATAGTTAGAGAAATATTCTTGCATCGACTCTTGATCATGTATAATTTAAAGAGTATTCATGTATCCTTCTATACCTTTCAGATTGTTTTCAACAAAATTAAAAAGGATAGCATTCTGTATATGCCGATTGTTATTTTTCTCTTCTAGTCTATTATTGCAACTGTTGTACCAATAATTTGTCTATAACCTCATCATTGGGTAATCTATTCCTATATCATTCCGCCTACAGTTATGATATGAAACACAAAGATTTATGATAAATCGTTCTTCAAGATGTCTTGCAATCAATTTGTTATCAACGATCTTTAGGTTGATTACATTATTTCTTGATATTATGGATGTTGAATACAGATTTACTATAATTATTGCTATATGCGTTGCCCAAGATGTACTTGTAGTATCAGGCTGTCTCTGAATATGAATATTATGATAATTGTCTATATTTAGAACAAATGAATTCTTCAAATATTTTACGAGAGCTTTCTCTACGTATTTCTCATGCGAATTGGACATCCTTTTTTTTGCGACCTATTGATCTCAATGTTGTAGATGTTCTAAGACTAGCCATTGTATTTAGGCCTTCATTGCTTGTGCCTACTGAATCTAAATAAAATCTAAGGTCAAATTTAAACGAATTAATTTTCGTATTATTCAGTGAAGCAAGTAGATAACATATGAATACCATCAACTTCTTCATACAATCCATCATTTGCTTGTTACATGTAAGCAGCGTAAAAAATCTATTCTAATTTACCCGGTTTTTCCGGTTAATATCTAATAAAACCGGTAAATTTTTTTAATCCAGAAATTTTTCGGTTATGGCGCAGCAGATTTCCGGAATATTTTACAAATGCCGGAAATTTTTTTTAATAAAATTTGTA